GGGGGGGGGGGTGGTTTGAATTAGTGCAGCGGTTAAATCACATCGGTTTTGGAAAATCTCTCTTGCATTGAAAACTGATTTCGGAAACTTAACTTGAAACAAGTGTTCATAAATGTATTTAAGGCAATAAGCAAGTAAAATGGTTTGCAGTAAAGTAAATGGCAATAATATAAATGCAAACCAGAGAGCACGCTAATTTTATAGTGGTTCGGTCGTTGTGACCTACATCCACTCCGTCAATTCCTCTTCCGTTGAGGCCACCGGCATCGACTATCGATCTTCCTTCAAAAGATGAAGACCAACCACCTTTTACACCCCTCTTCTCCTTTTCACAGGTTTAGAAGACAACCTTTACAAGCACACACACTCCTCTTAGACAGAATTCTAGACTTAGACTAGAGGAGGGGATTACTTAAGTGATTGCAATAGAGTTTCTTTACTTTTAAACTCTCTGTGCTTGTCTTTGTTAACCAGGGATGAGAGGGGTATTTATAGGCTTCAAGTTGATTCAAACTTGGAGCCTAAAAACATCTCATCCTGGGTTTCCTAGGTCCGGGCGATACCACTGCTTGTGCTGGGCGGTACCACCGCTAGTGTTAATCTAACACTAACACTACACTAGGCGGTACCACTACCTGGCAACTTGCCACTAGGCGGTACCACCGCCCAGACTGACGGTACCACCGCCTGGCACCTTGCTAGGGAGGGTAGCACCACCTAACACAATCTCGGAGATTATACCACAACGGTATCACTTCTTGGGTCACTGTTTGGGCTTTTCATTGGGCCCAACATAGTCCTTGCATGGGCCCAACTGGCCCCTAATTGGATTGGCCCAAATCCAAACGTAATTATGTGCTAACTATGAAACTTACGACATACACTAAGCTAAATAAGTCCCTAGGTCTTGGTTTCTTCCGGCGAGCTTCCGGCGATCTTCCGGCAAACTTCCGATGATCTCTTGGCAATATTCTAGCGGACTCCCGGCAAGCTCCTGGACTTCAGAACGATCTTCTTTGGCAAGTTTCGATGAGCTTCTTTGGCAAGCTCCTATACTTCTCGGTTGGTTCCTGTAGAACTTCCGATGAACGTCTGGACTTACAACGAACTCTCGAACTCCCAACGAAATCACGTTTTTGACTCCAAGACTTTATTTTACTTCATGCCTTGCTATCATAGTTAATCCTGCATATATAAAACACACTTTGATCTAGACAATTATTACTAAGCATGAATCATGTTGTTTGGCATGTCATTGGTCCATCGACGGTTTGTCCGATTCTTCGATGCATCGTCCTCTCTTGTGGCCTATTACCCAATCGGCCAGTTGACCTCTATAACTCCGATATCTTTGGAGCAATATCCGCTCTTCTTAGCCCGATGCCCAAATCCATGGCCCGAAGCATTCTGTCGACATATCATCTGATCCTCCAGTTAGACGTCCAATCTTCTGACATGTTCCACCGGTCCAACATGATTCTTCCTGCTTTAATTGTCTCATCCTGATCGAAGTATCCTACGTCACTCAAAACACAGATCAATTCATAAACACTTATCAATTGGTTTCATCATTAAAATCTGAGATTCAACAACGATCAGTGCCCTTTCGACCCTATGCTCGGGTGTTTTTGCTTATCTTACGATGCCCTCGATGCTAGAGGCTTAGCTTCAACCCACTTCATGAAATAATCCACTCCCACGATAGGGAACCTTCGTTAGCCTGAGGCTAGGAGAAAGGGTCCCAGGAGGTCCAAGCACCACTAGGCGAAGGGTTATGCGCAGTTATTCGGGCTTAGAGGCACCACTAGTTGGTGTTATATCCGAGCAAACTTCTAACATATGTGGCAGTTGCACTCAGCTTCTTCTACTCGAGAAGTGTAACACCGACCTTGATAACATCTTGGCACAGCGGGGTTAGTTTTTATATCTAGCCTCGGAGTCAATAACTCGTAATTGCCCCAATATCACCCTCTTAGCATTTTATCCACTTAAACTACTAAGGAGGGACGGTCCCTGACGAGACCAGTCTTGGACTGTTGTCCAAGAGAGCATGTAGGTGAAGAATGACTTGGGACTTTTTCCATCCGCAAGAGCTTCCATTAATATATTTCCTATCAAGAGTTCTCTATTGGATTATTCCATTAGACGGGATTAGGCTGGATCGTGATGCAAACAAATATCACATTCATAAAAGCAAATATTGCGAGACTTAGCGTCTCACAAATCCATTAAAACCTGACCTGTTTACCACAGGAATCTGAATGATTTAGCTACAAAGTCTTCCTTTTTCGAAACCAAAATAAACCTATTAGTTAGCAGCAAATCGTCATTAAATGCTAGGAAACCATGGCTCGTAATCATTTACATCTCCTTCCCATAACCGTGAGTGATCAATTCCCAACATATGAGAACCTTATATCAACAGCAGCTTCCCGAGGACCCAGCATCTTCGACCTTCCTGTCCCTGGGCTCGCTGTTGATGTCAGGCAGCTATCAACTGAACACTCAGCAAACGTTGCACTTACTCCGTTTGAAGGTTTTCGTTGAACGGATTCCATTGCAATCTCCGACAATGATGGCAGTTTGAGTGCCTTACACAGGAAGCTTAGACGGTCATCGGCTGCTTCGCTTGTTGGAAATTGAGATGGTGTTTTTCTGACTAGTGCAAGTCCGTTGGAAGCAAGGTTTGGATCGATGATGTTGCAAGCCCTTTCGAACATAGAATGCAGATATTTGCCATGAGCCTCGATCCGAATCTGAAGATGCCGCTGTACCTGACCGGCAAAAAGAAGTGGGTTATAACAGGAATGTGATCAGGATTAAGCAGCATTGAAGAATCCCTTTCTCGAAGCCATTTAGCCCAACAAGCATCTACATCCAAAACGACAGAGCAGTATTATGATGAAACATTAACGAAACAGACAATGGAATGGCTGATTAATGCCTCTTCCTTGGTAAAAAAGAGTGCCCCAATAAAAGATCAACTCTAAAGGTGGCTTTCAGGGACTTGGTGCAAGGTAATAAAGAAAAAACTATTGAGAAATGGAAGGTATGAACTAGACGAGAAGCTTTCAGGGAAAGCAAGAAGAACTCAGGAATTATTTGCCATGAAGCAGCTACAAATGATTAGCAAGGGAAAAGAGAATAGAAAGATGATACACCCTGTGATATAGCACAAAACATATCATTCATTGTATATAAAGATGGAGGATGAAAGAAATTTTGAATACAAAAGATTTTCCACTATTCTTGCTGTTTCTTATGCAACTACAATTTACAGGTAAAGCAAATTCCACCAGTCCCAAAAGTCTTATGAAATTTATCAAAAGGGAAATCCTAGCTCCCAAGCTTAAGAAACTGTCGGCCACCATCAATGAAATTGAGATATTACTTGTGCTTAGGTGACATTCCCAAAAATAAGACTACTATTGCATGAGAGTACGATACAAGACATTCAAGAAGCACACTATACTGTTATATTGGATATATATTTCTTTAGAAGTTTTTTATTGTGATATCAAAGTGGCATCAAATATCTAGTAAGATCTGCAATATTGTCCTACCTTAGTAATAAAGCGATGTGCATCATGACAGCAGAAAAATATCCTTAAAGAACATTTCATAAGAGAAATTATAGCAAGAAAGGTTTAGAAAAAGAAAGTCATTGGTGCATCAAAAAGGAAGAAACATGCCTCAAGGTGTTCATGAAGCTGTCTCTCAAGTTCCATTTGCACTCTCATGGCCTCATCACATCCACTGTATAGAAATGTTGATGTAAGACTAGGAAAAAAGTAAATCAGCATGAAATTGTTGAAGAATAAATTACTCAATTAAGTCTTTAGCCAATAGTTTTGATGATGACAATGGTGAAGATGATAGTGGTCCAGTTCCCTGACTCTCCACAAAGTTGGCAGCTGTAGAGTTACCAAGTTTGAACCTTCAGTCATTAAGGTAAGACCAGAGAAAGAAAACTTGAAATAGACTGACTTATTCTACATCTAAAACTGAATATATGTCGTAGACATTCACATGCTGGCCAGGTATTATTCAACATGGAATATAACTTCTGGGGATTCATATAAGCATTAACACTCGCAAGATACCAGACACTTTTCTTATGTATATGGCACCACTAAGATGAAACATAAGGCATAAATATCTCTCTGATATTTTAGGAGGATCTCTTTCAGTTTGTCAATCCTATAGCCATGCCTGTGGAAACATATCGATGCATGTGGATGACTAGATACTCAAGGGGTCCATTAGGGAAGCAACTGACTGCTCCATTGTTGTTAAATGGAATGCAATCTCAAAAAATTTCTGCATCAAGGAGCATACACTACTTCATGATACATAGTTAGCCTCCTTAATATCCCACCAGCCATGATGTGTAAAAAAAAAAAGGGTTTAATTTTGGTGGTAATTAAGCCTAGGTATGGCATAATCACATCATGGAGCTTCAAGCCTAATCATTTAAGGTAGTTCACATCAAATATTCAGTTAATGGTACATGCAGGCTGCCACATATCACATGTATTGCTTTGCTGAGAAAACAACCACCAAAAAGGGCTTGTTTCAGCAGATGATACAAGTGTTAGCAGTGGTCTCTGACAGACTGGGTAGAGAATAAACCAGGTCCAGCTTTTGAATGAATTTATGATCTTCTTCTGTCTATTAAATAATTTGATGCTGCAACTCTTGGTGCTAATAGTTTTGTTGATAAACTTTGTGGAATCCTTTCACAAGTGACTATCGAGGAGTCCAGAGGAGGGGAAGAGACATAGGTGCTTAAGAAACTTGCTTGTTTTTCCTTTTTATCTCTTTTTTCTGTTCTTTTCTTGTTTACTTGTATTGTGAACCCGTGTGATTTATGGTAGGGGGTGCTGGTACACTGACACATGCTATTTTTCCATGACCGGCAGCCAGCAGATATTGCTCTTGCAAGGACCATGCCTATGATTTAACAAATATTATTTCCTTTCCCATTGCTTATACCAACTATTGTCTGGATACTCTCCTTTTGCTGCCTCTAGCTTAATTTATCTTCTTCTACACATCTTAGGACCACTTCAAGCTATTTTTGAATGTCCTATCAACAACTTCTGGTCCCAAATTACCACAAATGTCATCATTTTTCATTGATCTTACCTAGCAACACCTTCCATCAGCTTCCCAGCATATTGGCCATAAAGCTTCCCTATAAATTCTTTCTGCCACCCAAAGGGGTATAAACAACCCCAGTCACACTAGAATTACCTAATACTTTGATCATCAAGATCAAATTTGTGAGAATTATACACTTCAATCTGGATGTGTGAATGACTAATCAAGATAATCAAAACCTTTGTTATACTTCTTCACAATATTTTCCACTACATCTATTAGTCAATTCTTCATTTGATGTTGCTAAAGTTGCAATCAAATGCTTAATCTTAGTCTGGTTTACTATAATATTCTTATAATGTAAGGCAGGTTCTTCTCCATAGCTTTACCTGGTGCATGGTCCTCCCTTGTTGCACCATTTTTATACACCATGAGATCTTGCTTTAATCTGTCACTTAAGTTCATAATAATTATTTAACTAGGGTAACTATCCAAGGATTCAATGTTAATCTTGCTGCAACTGAATCATCACCAAAATCACTTCTGTCATGCAATGTTGTTCTCACATTAATTGTTACTCCTGCTGCAAATCCTCAATTAATCAAATATATGTATATATATCATGAATTTCTTTCTTTTTACAGCACAGTAGAATATTTCCTTATAGAAAACATAATACACTTGTAGTAACAGCATGCAAACCTTGGCAAAACTTCATCCACATGTAGTAAAATTGGAACTGAAACAAAGTTAACCTTCATGTCAAATTCAATCACATGTTCTTCTCACGTTCAAGGACTACAATTAAGCCAACCTTCTGTTTTTTGATCAATCAGCAGCCAACTTTACATTTATCTCTGTCAAGATGAGCATTTCACCAACCCTAGGACTAGCAACACTACACAATAAGAGGTATCATTGGTTGTGATCTTTTCTAAATGTCCAGCATATTTGTGCAAAACTTTTAACATAAACATGTAGGCAGATGGCAACGTGTAGAAGGCCATTTTGTGTTACGAAGCCAAGATTTAATCAAAAAGGTCCTCCACCAATTCTTTTTATTCATTGATCTTGTAGAATATAATACAAGAAGTCTTCAACATCCAATGAGGTGTAAACATGTCAAATGTGGACACCAACATGTTAGTGCATGTCATCGCAGGGTGCAGGGTTTAGAGTCTAGCGTTTAGGGTTACTTGGTATGCATTTTACTAGCATTGAATGTTTCCTGGCCATGGGAAGGAAGACCAATGGCCTCATCTGACCAACACTTTTTTACCCCTGTTGGCTCTCCTTTTTCTTGCTTTTTTTTTCTCTTCCTTGTCTTTCTTTTCCCCTTGCCAGAATGGCTCCGCCAATTTGTGCCAACAAGATGTACTATTCTGTATCCTGATCACCATGGAGCATTCACCAGTTTGGAAATCCTTGATACTTCTAACTACTAATTTCTCTGGTACATGTTGGGATAAAATAAGATTGCTCACTCAATCAAGCATCTATTAGCTAGTCCAGGGAATAAATATCTTCATGCCCTAACACCCTATTTAAAAAATACATATTAGGTGTATATCTAGGAGTGAAAAGCAGAGAGGGAGAGTCACCATCTTTTGAGTTGTCAGAAGGCTCTTTGTTTGATTGCTTTCCCAGTCTGTATTTCTGCAAGATTAAGTCAGAAAGGCATATAAGCACATGTTTTCAGAAGAGTGCACATGAAAAGTCATATATGATATGTTCGACAATGTTGTTGATCAATCACAACTTGCTGTCTCTTTAACAACTTGTCACTATAGCACTGATGAAATAGAAAGTCGAAAACAAAAGGAAGCACAATTAACATGTGACTAAGTAATGACACTCAAAAAGGCCCCAGTGATGCTTGTTAAGACATTTTGGTCGACTATTTACAATTTGTAAGCTAAGATTGAATCATTTGACAAGTAGATTTAATTGAAAGTCCAGATAGAAGTTGGATACAAGTTGAGCTACATCTCAGTTTCCTAACATTAGCATTGTGAAATAGTAAACGCAAGCGATGATTGAAACGGCACGAGATTAAAGCCCTCAAATTGAAGCACAGAATAACAATCTAGAAACATCTTTTGTGTCAAATGATGCTAGTTGAGAAACAGACCTGAAGATGACTCTTCAAATGGTAAAGCGTGAGGCCCTTAACAGCCATGGTTTTCATGATGGTCTTCGGCGTGGCTTCTGCAAAAGAAGCACAAGTTTTTCGGTTAGTCAGGAACATCAATATCAAAATATTAAGTAAATACATAAGCATAGACCAGAAAGCTGTTCCCACTGGAATGCTCGGAGCAACGAACTCTTGCATGAACCAAAGATATCTTTAAATACGGCAAAGCGTGTACAAGAAAAGGAATCTTATTCTTCAACTGCTTCAGATGTTCTCAAAATGTTGGCAATATATTGCAAAGACATGTGTATTAGAGGTCGAGAAGGTTATCGAAGCATCCATTGGAACAGGGGCGTGAAATAGGAAGCGGAGTTCATTCAACCTAGAGCGGGGAATCAACAAGATGAGAAGACACAGATAGATCAGAACATGCGGCGATAGCGCGTCACTTCACACGCCGGGCAAAAGCGAAATAAAGGGAGTGGAGCTCACTATCGGGGCCACCGAGCTGGGTGACGGCGTCGACGAAGCGATCGTGGAGCTCGGGAGTCCAACGGAGGCGCGGCTTGGGGTCGCTAGAGAAGAGGTGGCAGGTGTCTCCCGGGAGGTTGGCCCCCTCCAGGGAGCCATGGAACTCCTCTCCCCGCTTGGTTGCGTACATTCATAAACCAAACCCCTTCTTCTTCTTCTTCTTCTTCTTTCTTCTGCTTATTTCTTAGGTAAATAAGAGCGTAGAATGGAGGAGGACATTCGATTCAAGTGATTTGGTGAAGAGGAGAGGGGGAGGACGACAATGGAAGCGGAATTGGGCTGGCACTTTTGATATTATAGACTATCGAAGGTGTTTGTGGGGTTGGGAGAGAGAGAGAGAGCAGCGCGCGCACACAACAAGAGAGAGACAGACACCGGAGAGGAAAAAGAAGAAAGCGAGACGCAAATGGTAACCACCCGTCGGTTTTATTCGATTCCGAGATGAGCAGTTAGTAACTTCACCGGACTCATGATTGAGTGTAATGTTCTTCGTGATTATTATGCACGCAGCTCGGTCAGCCAAAATTAAGCTTGAGAATGCTTTTTTGTTTTCATTTAATATATTTCTAGGATTTATAGAATATATATATATATATATATATATATATAATTATATATCAATGTAATCCAGAAATTTAAATTTTCTAGACTCTTCTTTTGCATTTGCTGGATCCTCATAAAATCTTGCATCCGAGATGTTCCCTTTTAAGTGTTTAGTTCGCTTACTTCCATAGATACTATTGTGATGTTTACTAGTCTACTCTTCTTAGTCTTCGTGAAGTGCATAAATTTATCCCATTGAAGAAGATTAACATATAGAACGCTCATCCAAAATTAAAGGCAAGTCATCCAATCAAGAATGTGGTGTTGGCAGTGGAGCATAGAAACTTCCTATATACAAAAACCACTCTCATCTTATCATGGAATAATTCTTTGAACGTATACTATTCCTGTGTGGTATTTCTGAATAGTAAAGCGTATATGCCTGCATGCAAGTCAAAGTACCAAGGATAAGAAAGAGTTCAGTACTCATTACTCATAATGCAATCAATGAAATTTTTTGAAAGAATATATGAAACACAAGTACCCACAAACCCTCACCATTCTCTGTTTAAACAACAAGCAACAGTAGGAACCTTTGCGAACCTCTCAAAACTTTCTCCTTTGCCAGGACTGGAAAGAGCAAGCGAACTTTAGAAATTACAGTGACAAATCACATATCAGTTGAGTTTCATTAATATTGATGAAGAATGTACAGCTTGAGGATTGGCTCATTGTTTATTTCTTGTGAACACATCTCATTTCATTCTGTTCTTTATTTCTACCGACCTATAATCTGTATTCTATAAATTGTTCGGCAGTAAATGGCACAAGCTTAAGCTTTACTTTGCTCAGTTCTAAAGCAGACCAACTACCAGAAAGCTGAGAGGCTACCGCTTAAATATTGAGAAAACCTTGAGATTACCAGCAAGTATACCAATTGATGAATCTGAACAACGTTTCCATGCTGTAGAGATACTTAAAATGAATCTTCTGACGTCCCTCCAGGAATGTATTTACAGTCCTTAAACCAGCACGACTTGACCTGCAGTAAACCAGCAAACCGAGGATGTTAAAATGGGTCACCCAGGAATTGTGTGTTTGGTGGGAGGACTGCTTTTGCAATTTGAAAGCAGGAAAACCAAGGTTGCAATGGAGCAAACCCGCTGTCACAATGGAGAAAAATGGGATAACTTGGCAATCCACTAATTTTGCTTATGAAGCAAGGCAATGGTGTGATAATATTATTCATCTATCGCTTCTACAGTCAATTTAGCATATTTACTTGGATTGAAAACCTACTTGTGAGGCCGTCTCTCTCAAGATATCCAGTGACTCTTCCAGTTCAATTTGCTTTTGTGAAGTCACTTTCACCACCTGCATGAACCAACAACTGGCATATAAGCCAAGAAAATACATGTGTAAAACAATTTCAAGTGAAGGTAAAACCATTAGTGTCCAATTCATTTGGAAGAGAAACAATCAAGACAAGTACTAACATCCTTTGTCTTCTGTAGGTCATGCTCTATAGACTGAATGCGGTTTAATGACTCTCGAATCATGACGTCTTTTTCTTCAGGAATCCTCGTAGGTTTTCTGTTTATCTCAGTGACCAGTTCTTCCAACTTCTGCAGCCTCTCCAGGAATTGTAGGACACAGTCCTCTGGGACATCATGTCTGGTAAGGTGGTTTATAGAATTTGCATTTGCTGGATCTAATCTTTGATGATCTGATGACCTCACATTGACCACTACATTTGGTAGTCTACAGAAAACATACAAAACTGCTAACAGTTTCATAATGATCTTGCTGACAGCTTCAGTCACCAACACAAGGAACCTATCAACTGAACCACCTGCAAAGGGACACCCTTCTTAGTAAACTACAGTTGGTTCATCTAGAAATGCTCAGGGCTCATTAGTCATAGATGCTACCATAAAAGCACAAAAAAATACATATGAAGAGTACTTGTTTAGATTTCAAACTCATGACAAAACCAAAGCCACAGACGTCATTTGTTCGATGCCTTAAGCACATGATGCTGAAAAGCAGCTAACTTCTGAAGAATGATGCAAGTAAATTGAGACCCAATTCGGCACAAAAGCGGACTTAACATTGAAAAGGCAGAACAACAGGACAAGTTTAAACTTTAATCATCTTGACACCTAATAGATCAAAGATCAGTTGCAATGCTAGATGTTGTACTAACGGTAAGCAGATTTGCAAAGTGAATCATTCTGTTGCAGGTGTACCTGATATTCTTATTATATTCAAGCTTTTAATTGAACTGGAACTATTAGCTGATCAAACATACAAAATATGCTTACCAGTAACCAGCATTTTGGTGAACTTAATACCCTTGTCACATTTATTGGCTCCAGTTTCTGCTGTTTTAGGGTTGAAAATTGGTCTAAAGATACAATGTTTTCCAATGACAAATTTATTCTGATTTATTGGCATTATTAAAATAAAAGCTTGTAAGATTTTGCTAATACTTTATTTAGATGTAACTTAGTGTCCACTCACACAAGTTTTAGAGAAGAGAAGTGAGACTAAGTTTTTGCTCCCTCTTTCTACTAAGCTGTTTTCAGCAAGGTCATACAGACATATTGACATTCAGAAGGCAAAAAAATTGTTAAAATTAAGTTTCATTTGAGACCCAAAAAATGGGAAAATAATATGATTGTCATCACAACTGAACATGGGGTGGAATTTCCAAAGCATACATTTTGATTTCTATCCTTAATGGAACTCATGGATAATAGTATACTGGCATGACATGGAAACCCATGCCACATGACCATTTGGTGATATCACATGCTGCCCATGGTACAATTGAGAGACATTAATTTTTGTGTAGATACATGTGTGAATGTAAAATCACCAAGATTCTAGAATGTTAATATAATTAATTTTTCAACAATCAACAAGAAAGATGAAAAATATAAATTACAAGAGCATGCAGAAAACTTCAACTAGGATGCAGCATTAAAAGCACTGCACAATATAAGTACTCCATAGACTCCAAAACAACCACAAAAAGTTAATCCTATAAAACTTTGAAACATGAAAATAGAAGTGCATCATAGACTCCAAAACAACCATAAAAAGTTATGCATACAGAACTTTAAAAAATGAAAAATAGAAGTGCATCGCGTACCTCCAGGTCTATTACGGAGTTTGGTTCGAGTAGCTGACCTGTTAGAAGGCAAGTGTTCATTTGTCCTGATCGGAGAACACTGAAAGAATCATAAAGACAGTTCAATAGTTAAAGTATGTCTAACTTTTGCAGTCATGATCATACTTAACAATGAGAGCAAGTACCATAAAGCAGCCTTTCCTGCTTCAAAATAGAGGTTTATCTCATATTTATTTAGTGCACAACTATGTATATGTAATAAATGCTTATGCATATATGATTAGGTTAGATGCTCCCCCTGTAAGCTCTAAAGCAAAAGGTTGAAATTATATTTTACAATCCTCTTCCTCCCTCTCTTCTCTCTGTCCCTCCTCTACTCTTAATTATTTCTTGAAGATTACAGTATTGCCTTCCAACAGATATAGCAGGCTATTAATCCTATGACAAACACATTCTGTGTAAAAGAATGGATGAAAAAATAATAGCATGCTTATTGCAACACAATTTAACATATTCATCTTATCATGAACATGTGCATGTTAAAAACCAGAACACATGCATAAGCACAAGCACAATCATTCAATCCATGTTTTTTTTAAAAAAATATTCTCATACAAGTGCAAACAGATGGAGAACCTCAGCCAAAGAAGACAGATCATTCAAGGTAACTCACATTTTCATACACTGGATTTGACTGTGTGTCCAGCAGAGGAATTGACTGAATAGGGGAGACAGAAATTTTTGAATCAGATTTTAATTGAATGTTACCGTTTTTATACATTGGGACCTGCAAATATGGTTAGTCCATAATTAGAATAGTTGTCTTATCCAGAATATTGGAATTCATCTAGCACTTGAAAGAGATGAGACTTAACCTGACGAGTCAATTTCTTTTCATCAATTGGATTGTCTCTATTTCTCGAGCTTGTGATTCCAGAATGAACTGCCTGGAAGATGAATACATGGAGTATCGTAACGGTGATTTTTGTGAAAGACTGAGGGAAATTAGAAAAAGATGCTTCTTGTAATTTCTAAGACATCAAAATATATAAGCACTTTGATAGTTCATACATCCATGAACTGAGGGTCACTCCATGGTCCTTTATTAGATGTAAGACAACCTCCCTCGTTTGAACAAGTGCAAGAGCCACCAAGAAAATCAGGTAGTTGACTGTCATCAACACAAAGTCAAGATGAAACACTTTCCATTTAGGTCTGGAACCCAAAACCACAGAGCATGTGACTGAATTTACTTAAAGGGAAGAATAGAAACCTCATCTCAATTAATTCAAGTAATGTATTCTGATATCTATCTCCTAATACCTGCAAAAATTAGGTAAATGACTGAAGTTACAGCATAAACATGTTTGGGTGTAATGACATATCACATAGAATCTACCACTATCTTTGCTGTTGTCCTTGGATCAATTAAGCCTTTTATAGTGTTCCAAAGTAATCTGAAACCACTGCCAGCATTAACAATAAACAACTTATGCAGTATCTGCAACAACAGGAATAGTATTATGAGAAAGAAGTAGGTTAAATTGCTTGTGTTCACTACCAAACTGGTCATACAGTAACCACAACAGTTATCACCTCAGGGTAATTGTCACTGTCAATTTTCTGGATTCGAAGAACAACATCACGAGCTAATTTGCCAACACTCATCCAGTTCTGGACAATCAAGTTTGTCAGGAGGAAACAGCAGTCACATCAAATAATGTTAACTCATGTTTAACTAGAAAAGTAAATCCAGTACCCACATACCACTCCTTGTACATCTAAAATTGTTGTCATTGTGTCAATATGCCTTTTGGCTGCAAGAGAGCATGCTGGATATTTCTCAGAAAGGATCTTCTCTATCACCTGAACATGGTACTTTATAAATCTTTCAACTGTGGTGACAGTAAGAAGTTTGTTGGGGTCGACCATTCCAAGTCTCTCGATATACACAGGTCTACCATCTTTGTCCACACCATGAAAACCATGTGGATAGTAACGAAGAACTTCATCCAATTCACTGAACACAAAGTCCTAAGTAACATTGTTCAGTTAGACAATTAAAGCCACAAAATTTGGTAGTTTAGAATTAAACCCCTGTAGAATAATGCAGGCTTAACTTCTCTGTTTTAATTAACCTGGTTCCATAATAACAGGATAGAAGAGGACATAGAACAATCATAATAGTTCTATCATAAAACAACAATACCCTATTCAATAATTGTAATCACTCATTTCTTAAAAGCATATTTATATATTTTGAATTTGGGACTAGAATTTTCAGCTTAGAAAGCAGTATTGTGTTTCACTGCATATTTATTGCTTAAGAGGTATTACTTGTTCTGTCTTTAGAATTCATCTTTCTGTCAGTAAGATTCGCATGTATCATGCATCCTAGTTTTTACTTATTTTTTGAATTTTAAAGTTTAAACACTAAATTCAGTTTCCTGTACTTTACAAAGAATACACTTATGTTTCCAGGTATGGTTTGCATTATCAGTCCATACCGATGTACCGACCAGCTGTTAGTACGGTATGTACCGAGCTGTACCGACCATACTAACATATAGTACATTGGAGTGTACCGATGTACCACTACGCTTCAGTTCGTCAAACCTTATTTCCGAGTATAGGATCTATCACACAGTTGTATATTTAGAAATCAGTTGTCCATAAATCCAGTCTAATGTGCCCTCGGTTCTTGAAGTCAGTGTTTTCAGTTTAAAAATAAGTAAATTTTGCAATAAACCAACTTCCTGTAATAACTATTGAATTCTTGAATTGTTGTTGCTGTTGTTGTCAAATTTTGATAATTGTTTCGAAGTTTATATTTAATTGTTACAGGTGATGTACTAGTGGCCCTTTGGGTTTGATTAGAGATATGAAATCAAAAGTTTCTTTAAGCGTTGGCAGCCTTAGGTAATCATAAATGTCAATTTTAGCAATTGAAATGAAATGAGAAAAATATTGTGTGTACTAAATTTTCAAGTTGCATTGGCTGGAGTCTCCTGCATCATCTGTCCTTTTAAAAATTTCAAGTCATAGGTATGTTGGAAAACCATTATGTGTATGACTTACGCACACTACTTCAATCAAATCAAAATTTCATGTAGAACACAACTGTTTCTTTCATGATGTAAAAACCTGTTTGAAACTGGACTACAAACAAGTTCATAGGCATGACAGTTTGGATGGTCAATAATCATAACCATAAAAGTGGAGAGAAGGATATCATCACTTGTTCTTACTTGCAGGATAGTATCAGCACCAAAGTCCATCCTCCACTGAAGCATCTCTGACCACATTCGGATTGCTTTCTCGATATTGAACCCTCGTGCCTTCAAAAACCTGTAGCAATCATTAATAAAATATATATAAAGCACATTCCAATCTGAAGAAGAGGGGTGGGATGATCAATTGCTCAGGTATATAATCCTAAGTATGGAACAGATGGATTCACATTGCAGTTTAAAACTACTAGATGTTATAAACATATGCCATAGATTAATCCGATTATAGTTGATAGTTTACTCGAGGTATAGGCAGCATCAGAATCAAGAACATGAAGCCATTTTGTTTCTTGAACAACACACAACATCAAACATTTTATTATATATCCGAATTTGCCTATGCATTCTTAGAGTGATCCAGACTAATCTGCATATGGAGACACTAAAATATAGAAATCAGCAGATTCACATGAACCATGTATGTAGACTTCTATCTTCAATCCCTTCTCCTCTCACATCAGCCCCTATAAAGTTTTCAGAAGCTTGGATGAGATGCCTTGATAGGATGTCTTAAGGCAATCATTCATAAAAGCATGGTATGCAATTTCGAATGGTATCGTCTGGTACGGGTGGTACGTACCGGTCCAACGGCATACCGGTACGCGGATCGCCCGCTATCGGACGGAATGTGCTACAGTGCTACGGTACGCCCTTGTGTACCACTCAGTACATGGTACCGTACCATACCGAACCAACCTCGAAACATCGGTACGGTACGGTATTGCATATCTTGGTCACAACCTACACTAATGGGATAACTAATCCATTAACCTTATTGAACCTGAAACACTATTTCAAAATGACTATACTTAAATTATAGTAATATGCTCATCTAACCTTATAAAACAATTCAGATCTTCTTTCACTTCTGATGTGGGACTAAACTAAGATATCACAATCTCTCCACTTAGAAGTTTAACGTCATTGTCAAGATCCGATCATGAGCCAATATCAAATTCTAGCATTGTGCATGTGAGGCATAGGCCCATAAAGCCATCACATCATGGTACTTCGTGCTAAGATACACTTTTCCTACTTTGGCTACTCACCATGCCCATGTCTCATGTCCCATGTCCAATACTAGGTCCGCTATAAAATTATTTATCATTAATCGATCTGATGGAATGACTAACATATTAACCTTGTTGAGCCTGAATGACTAGTGCAAAATGCTTAAGCTCATGTTAATAGTGCACTTATCAACCCTTATAAACTAGTTCAAATCTTCTCCAACTTCTGATGCAGAACTAAACTGTCATGCTACATTCTGCAACTTTTAGGAGACAAATAGCAGATATCAATCAAAGTCAAGATAAACCACATGAAGCAACAATTCATTTAAACAACAATCAGCAGTGCAAATTAAAACAATTCGGAGGGCAACTATTACATGAGGCAGCAAAAGAATCTATTACAAGAATTGCAAATTCTGCAAAAGTACAAACTCAGCAGACAGGTCTATCCAAGGGTTAATTCATTCGCATAAGATGATTTAATGTTTGAACATCACTGATAGTAACAACAGAATGAAGACTATTCAATGCAATTTCATTATGTAGATATCTAAGAAAAATACAGCACCTTTAGTATCGGGAGATGTCAAAAAAGTATCTCTTCTGTTGTATTACTTATAACAGCCTTAACACTACAAAAGGAGTGGCCCAGTGTATAAGGCTTCTAGCACTGTAGGGTGTGAAGAGGGTCGTGTCACAGAGGAGCAAACTTACTGTGACACCAAGAGCCTTATATATTATCTACATGATACATCACCCTAATGGAGGCTCAAATGTTGCAACTTCATCCATCATAAACTATATATCGGACTTGAACTCACTCTTCCCTACAATGATTGTCGGGAGTCATTATAAATTGCAACCAAAGAAATCACTAGTCATTTGTGCAGAAACACCACACGATGACAAAAAGTCATTATCACAGTGCAAACTCATGTAACAGAGAAATTGCATGATTGAAGATAAATCAGCCACTAAGGATGGACATATAGGGCTTCTTATGTTATACTTCCCTGCTACTTGTGATAGTGAGCCTTTCGTCTTTGAGTGGTGTTTCCGCACAAAAGACTATACAGACATATATTACATATATATATAATAGTAATCTGACATCTAATCACCATCATTTACAACCCAGAACATCACCTTCTGTAAGAACTGCAGCTGCAAACTGATCAAATCTCCGGTCCATGACTAAACATATAATTCTGAAACTCCCATTAGCGCACATGAAAAAAATCAACCGCGTGTCATATAGCTAATTTGGTATCGAAGCCTAATACCACTATCGCTAGCATGCATACGAGATCCATTCAACAAAAAAAACCAATCAGAAATGGTATGATAGATCGGCGATCGAGACTGACCGCTTCATGGTATGGTAATCGTCATGGCGAGCGGGCAGCAGGTTCCGATCGATCAGGGCCTTCCGGAAGACTCCCACGGCCCTTTCCTCCTCCTCCGACGAGGCGTCCGTCCAATCGCATGCGGAGGCGGTAGCAGAGGCCGAGGAATCCACCCTCTTCCCTCTCCCTCTCTTCCTCGCGCCATCCGATGCGCTACTCCTCGACGAAGAAGGGATCATTTCCTCCTCCTCGTCGATCTCCCTCTCTCTCTCTCGTCCCACCCGGATGGCTAATTCCAAATCCTCCTCCTCCTCCTGGCGGCCCCGAGATGGAATCCAGGGGCCGATGGGCGAATATATGCTCAATTCTTCGTTATTGGAATTGAATCGGATCAGATATGAGGCCAACTCACACGTGGGAAGCGCGACCTGGCGCCAATTTTGCGCCGTCGTTGGAGTATATCTATTGCTCCGTAAAAAGAAAATACAGGAAAAATAGGAGAGTCGGTGAAATCGAGCGAGAAGACGAGGCGGAGGCCGACGGAAACGCGCCAGTCTACGCCCGATGGGACCCACCATTTTGTCACCGGCCAACGTGCGAGTGCGCGAGTGGGTGACGTCAAGCAGGTGCGAGAACAAAAAAACAAGAAAAAGGAGAGTCGCCGAGGGACGCGCGCCACTCTACGGCTGTGGGATCCACCGTTTCGTATCCGATGGACGAGCGAGTGCGCCGACGGGTGACGTCGAACGAGATGAATGTGCGGCCAGACTGTTCCCGGCGAGGACGACGCGAACTCAAGCGCACCACTCGACGCTAGCGGGACCCACGATATATTCTCCTACCGATGCGCGAGTGGGCGAGCGGGTGACGCCGGGCAGGTGCTCCAACGTTGTCGGAGATAAATGGGCTTCTATATTGTTCCAGGCGCGGAGGTGGCGACCGAAAGGCGCACCACAAGACACCAGCGGGACCCACAACATTTTCTTCCACCGATGAGCGAGTGCGTGAGCGGGCTGAAATCGACCTCTAAGCGCGTGGGACCCAGCATTTCGTCTCCCACCAACAAGCGAGTGCGCGAGCGGGTGAATGCCGACGAGGTGCGAAAACGTTGTGCGAGATAAACGTGCCTTTCACGTTGATTCGGGCGAGCGGATCGTGTTGAGCTGCCTTCCTTTGCTGCGGAAAATACCAGTAATTTTTTTTTATTTTTCCAAAAATAAGTGACCATCAAAATCTAAATTATTTTAACAATTTCAAAAAAATAAAAGTAAGAATACTAGCAATCCCGTTCGATGGTTTTCTCGATAAATCTTCTGACGAACAATAACATGAATTTTGGATATCACATAAATCTTATCAACTTTATTACAAGATTTTGAATATCGATCGAGCTATACTCAATACGGTACATACCGATATGTACTGTCGATATGTTAGGGTAAACTCTAAAATCTTAAAAATATCTTCACCTATCATGTTAGTGTATACCAATCGGTATACCTCGATAACGGTCGAAATTCGGAACGGTATCGATCGGTACACCTCGGTATCGATCAAAACACTGGTATTACCTGATAAAGGATGATCCACGTACTGATATCCTCTTAAATCGATATGTACCATCCATATCGAACAGTACATATCGAAATTGAGAACCCTGCTTTATTATATGAATCTTAAATCACTCTAATATTTTTTTTAAAAAGATCATTACATAATTCCTCTAAAAGAACCTTCATAATAAGTTTCCTGGTGTATATATTGATTGAGTAATAGATATATAGAATTATGAATTAACTTTATAAATTTGATAGTGACAAACGCCACAGCATCCTCAAAAAGAAATCGGCTCAAAATAATCAAAAGAAAACAAAAAGGATATGATCACTTTTTTCCCTTTCATACAAATGGAAGCCTAGTGGTCTAATTGTTGATACTTGTTCCCTCTCATGGGGGAAGAAACGATGCTTGAAGCCTCTATCAAGCTAACTTCCTAAAAGAAAAGCATCAATTCCCATGCACAGCTTTCGGTGCTATCTTCGCAATTTTCCAAATGCATGTCGAGATGCATACATACTCGATTCAGTAAGATTCATCAATAGTGAATAATTGCACAAAACAAAGCCCAAAAAGAATTTAATATTCACTTAAAAGTAATTTTTTTGGTTATGACCTTAACTTTTTTTATTTATATAAGCTGATTAGATTCTTCTAAACACATTAAATATGTTTGGGACACGTTTCTAATAAGTGTCTCATAAAGCCTTGAATTAAGTTGCCCTTGTAAAGCTTGAAACTAACATTCTCTAAATGGACTTGATTTGATCGAACATAGGCTTAACTCGACTCTGGCTGAAGCTTGATAAGCTTTGGAGGATCTAATTATGCGAGCGACTCTGATCGGAAGAAGGATTCGAGCTGGCATGTTAACTTGATGTGAAGAAATGAATAGTCTTGACTCAATGATAGAAAATATCTGTATCTCATATATTGTGTTTCGTACGGGTGCATTTGATAAGACCAAGTTTATATTTGTTTATTCATTTTAGATATAAGTGGGTATAGAATTAAGACATATCTTATATAGTATTCATTTTATAATCATATATATTCTAGGATAATTTTTTAAAAAAAGGTACTCAAGTTTTTAAAATTTTTAATTAGCATCCTAAATTTGAAAAGTTTTCATAGATCATCCTTTGCTCAACCCTTAATCGTGTCATCGTCCCGTCAATTACCCCTTCGATGGGACCCACCCAACGACGGAGGATGCAATGACCCGTCACACCTTGCTCAACCAACAATGGAGTAACCCTCGTCGTTCACCACCCTTGTGTGAGTAAAGGCACAAGCAATGCTATGTAGTATCTTCGCGATCAATAAAGATAGTGAGGGTCGATGGACCAACCGGAGTCACATAGCTTCCTCATGCTCTTTCATCACTAGTACAATCTCTTCACGTCCTTTTCTCGTTATCGCAAGAAAGGAGAGGACGACTCGCCCTCACAACTAATGATGACAGTGAGGATTAGGAGGTCGAGGTTTAGGCATGACTACGACTAATGCGGACGGAGGTACAATTAGGATTGGGTAGAAAATTTTGAAAATAAAAAGATGAAATTATCTTTTCATGCGATTAGAGGTGCTCGTAGAAAATTTGAAAACCGAAGTGATCTACGCAAAATTTTAAAACTTAATTTTTTTTCTTCCAAAAATTAGTCTAATATTTTATTTATATGTCAGTAGCATGTTCAATAAACTTCAAAGTATCGTGTTTTGATTGCCGAGCTGACGTACATTATGGTATTAGGATGAAATGTTTTGAATTTAAATCTTCTTCGTCTCAAATATGCCTAATTACCTATGAAGAGAAACATTGGTTGGAAATCTTAGGAGTTGGACAATGACATGTTTTGCACCTCTTCGTCTTCTCTAATTTGTTTAGCAGCAGGGGGCAGAAACAAGGAGAAAAGGGTGGAAGCGACAACTATCGTCGTCGTCGACACACGAGCACAGCCGTGAACGAAGGAATGCGGTCGGTCTGCCAACAATTCACACCGTGAAAGCTGCAGTTCGCAAGGGACTGCTCCATTTAAGTAAGAATTAGGTGCAACAACCCCAACTCGCAGCCGCCGTTCACGAGATCCACAGTAACGCTGCATGTGAGTCTCCCTCCTCGCTGTTCATCCTGCATGGAGACGGAGGAATCGTTCATCTTGTCTTCTCCGGCGGCAGGGACACTTTATGCGATGCCAGCGAGCGAAACTTGGCTGTTGTTCGTCGCTTTCTTTGGCCGAACCATGTCGAACACTGTCATTTCGCCGTGCCTTGTTCGCCAATGTCCGCGAATCGTTCGACGAAATTACCAACAGATGCCGCTTACAGTTAGAGTGACGCGGAAAATATAATTAAGGGTGTCAATGGAAGTAAGCAACAGTCTGGTCATTGCCAATGGGGATTGCGACAAGCCTTACTTCAACTCCATCAGTTTGCATTGTTCTTCCTTCTGAACGGAAAGAAGAGTCACGCCATTGCCACGAGATCTCATTGTCAATGTAGATTGGTCAGAAGCCAATTTGTTTGCGATTATTCCATGAGCAAGTGTTATTTACCTGACATTGAAGGGATGGGGAGATCCACAGAAGAAAGTACACACGGACTGCACCAGAGACCAGAGAAAAGAAGCACAACATAAATTGCTGCTCACTGCAACGAAATAGTTATCATACAGAATGTCATCATCATCATCAGTACAGAGTCGGGAGATGTCATCAATTGGGAATCCAAATTCTGGACCTAAGGAAAGAGACCTCAGGTACACACTACTGGACTTGGTTGGATGTTAGTGTTGTTTTTCTTACTACCAATGAAATTTATTTTGCTTTAATATACCAGCGAAATTTCCATGTTGAAATGATTATACAATAATTTTGTTTAATTTGTGCTTAAATAAGCGTTCATTCGTTCTTCTTGTTTATTATTTACATCATACACTACTTATGTTTTGTTTGTTATATTCACATTATAATCCTTGAAATGATAATAAAAATATTCTTGCAATCTGTGTGATCGAGTTCGAGGTATAAAAATAATCCCTCTTTTTAAGACATAAGATGAGATATACCGATTCTCTTCCATTCTTGTATTTAGCCATATTAATGTGCATAGCTTAGAATCCTAATCATCCATGTCTTCTTATCATATAATTTGATAATTTTACGTTTATTCAAATGTGGCATCAGATCTTGATTTTTATTTAATGAGAGCATAGAGTCCTAAAATTCATGCTTTTGTATCATATATAATTTTGTAGAAAGAAATAAAAAAACCTCATTTATAGCACCTGTGGATGTTTTTTTTTCTTTTGTTATAAATCACTAGTGGATTTACTATTAATAATACAGTGTTAGGGATAATTCAAAGGGGGTGTGTGGTCTCATTATATTTTTCTTTTCTTTATGTTGGATCTTGTTAATAATACGGTCAACGGAGAAGGGACAAAAAATCAATTAATAACCAATGAAATATTAAGAATGTTCCCTCATTATTCTACTATAAAAAAAATTACCTTAGGCATGTTATTCTTTATTAAATTTATTTTATTTTTATCGAAATTAATTTAAGCATCAGAGAGACGAAGTTAGAAAATCCATCCGATCTTAATTTTTATGTAGGTCATCTTCGAAGTCAGCATTTGCGTTCTTTCTCATATCATTTTTCATTGTTGAAAAGAAAAAATGATGCATTTCTACATATGATTTATGGAATAAATTTACTATCAATAATCAAATCTTAATGTCACTCCCCGTAGATCCAAAAAAAAAAAAAAAAAAGGGCTCCCCGAAATAATTTTTTTTTTATTGGGTTCCCCTAAATTACTTGTTTCGATCTCTTTGGAATGGATTTAGGACCACGCACTCTAAAACAGTACATGTGCAGGACCCGCCCGAGTGGGTCCCACGTGCGGGAGGCGAATGCAGTTCATGCTGTCCTGGGCCACCTGCCCTTGCAGCATATCTCGTCTCTCGATTAGCCGATAACCAACTGCCCAACTGGGGCGCATCACATACTGGCTGGCGGTGGATCAGGCAAGAATGTAGCACGCCTTGCAGCAAATGCTCTGTTGTCTCACGAGGAGTTCCCTCCATGCATTCCTCCAAGAAGAGAGGGTAATATATACCCGGTTGCCATCTTTAACCTTTGCTACTCCTCAGTCGCTAGCGGACGAAGAGCCTACAGTCCCAAAGAACGTGACTTCCCTTCTCGCCTTCATTGCTCTTGGTGTTTTCGATCCCTCCAGCTCTCTCCGCAGCTGTCCCAGCCGCAGAAAGACTCGGATGAATCAGTCGTGGGACAGCGGAAAATGATGGTGAAAGGAGACGCACCGGTGCATAGCGGCAGCTGTTTCTTGCAGCCGCCGGAGAGGATGATGAGACTTCCTGATGTGCTCCTACTCCAAATCCTTCTTCTGCCGGTGTTCGCCTGCGCCGTGGATCTTCCGGCGCCGCTCAACGACGAGGTGATGGGCCTCATCGTGTTCAAGGCGGCGCTGGAGGACCCGACGGCGGCGCTGGCGTCGTGGAACGAGGCGGACGCTACCCCGTGCGGCTGGGCGCACGTCCGGTGCGACCCTCGCACGTCCCGGGTCGTTCGCCTCGCCCTCGATTCGCTCTCCCTCTCCGGCCCCCTCCCCCGCGGCCTCGACCGCCTCCCGGCCCTCGCCTCCCTCTCCTTGTCCAACAACAACCTCTCCGGGCCCGTCCCCCCGGGCCTCTCCCTCCTCCCCGCCCTACGCTCCCTCGATCTCAGCCGCAACTCCTTCTCCGGCAGCCTCCCCGGAGACCTCGCTTTTCTCCCCTCCATCGTCTCCCTCGACCTGTCCTCCAACGCGCTCTCCGGCCCTCTCCCGGACTCCCTGTTCTCCGCCGCCACCTGCGGCTCGCTCCGGTTCCTCTCGCTCGCCGGGAACCGCCTCGAGGGCCCCTTTCCGTCCGCATTGTCCCGCTGCTCTTTTCTGCTCTACCTTAACCTCTCCAACAACCGATTCTCTGGCTCCCCGGACTTTGAGACCGGCCTATGGTCTCTCTCCAGGCTCCGAGTGCTTGACCTGTCCCATAATTCCTTCTCCGGACCTGTTCCCGATGGCATCGCGAATTTGCATCGCCTCAGGAACCTCCAGCTGAACGGCAACCGCTTCTCGGGAACCATCCCAGCCGGCGTCGGGCTCTGCCGGCACCTGAGCATCTTGGATTTGAGCTACAACTCATTCGAGGGAGCCCTGCCGAGCTCCATGAGGTACCTCGGTTCGTTAACTTCTCTCAAACTGTCGGACAACCAGTTGTCCGGAGACGTTCCTGCGTGGATCGGAAACTTGACGACCATTCAGCAGGTGGACCTGTCAAACAATAAGCTCGCCGGGAATTTGCCTGCTTCTCTCGGCGGCCTAAAAGAGGTGAATTACCTGAGCCTGTCGAACAACCTGCTGACCGGAGCTATCCCGGACACGGTTGCAGGATGCACGAAGCTCTCTGAGCTGCATCTGAAAGGGAATCGTCTCAACGGCAGCGTTCCACTGGGACTGTTCGACCTCGGGCTACAGGTTCTCGACTTGTCATCGAATGAGCTCACTGGCACGGTGCCTGCAGGATCGACATGGATATCAGAGACACTGCGGTCCTTGGACCTCTCAGATAACAAGCTCAATGGTACCATTCCGCCGGAGATGGCGTTGTTCTTTGGCTTGACGTATTTGAACCTCTCGTGGAACGACCTCCGGACTCAGCTGCCGCCGGAGCTCGGGTTGTTTCGGAACCTGTCGGTGTTGGATCTCCGAAGCAGTGCGTTGTATGGCTCGATCCCTGGAGATCTCTGTGAATCCGGCAGCCTCTCCGTCCTGCAATTGGATGGCAACTCTCTGACAGGTCCAATTCCTGAGGAGATCGGAAACTGCTCGTCCTTGTATCTGCTGTGAGTAATTTCATTCTTGGTGCTCCTTTAATGTGATGGCAGATGCGCGTACTTGTACTGATTCTGATTCGATCTATCGATGTTTCTTAGGAGCTTATCGCATAATAGCTTGAACGGTTCGATTCCGGCGTCCCTGTCGCAGCTAAAGAATCTTGAAATCCTCAACTTGGAGTTCAACAACTTGAGCGGCGAGATACCGGAGCAGCTCGGTGGCCTGGACAATCTCTTGGCGGTGAACATATCGCACAACCAGCTCATCGGCCGGCTTCCGATGGGCGGCATATTCCAGAGCCTGGACTCGAGCGCACTGCAAGGAAACCTCGGCCTCTGCACTCCCCTCGTGATGGAGCCATGCAAACTGGACGTCCCCAAGCCGCTGGTCCTCGACCCCGACGCTTACGCCCGAGGCAACGGCAACGGCGTGCCGGCGGTAACCAATCCGGCGATGCCGATGCGGCACAGAAGGTTCCTCAGTGTCTCGGCCATCGTCGCGATCTCGGCTGCCGTCGTCATATTTCTTGGAGTTATGGCGGTCACTCTTCTCAACATGTCGGCCCGAAGGAGAGCAGGGCTGATGGAGAATGCATTGGAGCGCGTGTGCTCGAGCTCGACGAGGTCAGGGGGGTCGGATCTGGGGACGATGGTGGTGTTTGGTCCCGGAAGCAACCTGAGACCGGAGGATTTGGCTATTGGCACCGAAGCCTTACTGGCCAAGGCCACCAAGTTAGGCAGGGGAGTGTTCGGGACGGTGTACCGAGCTTCCGTCGGCGAAGAAAGGGTGTTCGCCATCAAGAAGCTGTCAACAGCTAACATCGTTCAGCATCAGGAGGACTTCGATCGCGAGGTCCAGAGACTAGGAAAGGTGAGGCACCCAAATCTTATGCAACTGGAAGGCTACTACTGGACGCCGGAGCTGCAGCTGCTGATATCGGATTACGCTCACCATGGGAGCTTACACTCGAGGCTTCACAAGAGGACCGAATCGACGCCACCGCTTCCATGGCGCGATCGCTTCAAGATCGCGCTGGGGACGGCTAAGGGCCTCGCTCATCTGCACCAGTCGGTCCGCCCTCCCATCATCCACTACAACCTCAAGCCGACGAACATCCTCCTGGACGAGAACTGCGACCCAAAGATATCCGATTTCGGGCTCGCCAGGCTGCTGCAGAAGCTCGACAAGCACATCATAAGCAGTAGATTCCAGAGCGCCATGGGCTATATGGCGCCGGAACTTGCGTGCCAGAGCCTGCGGGTGAACGAGAAGTGTGATGTGTATGGGTACGGGGTGCTGATCGCGGAGCTGGTGACGGGGAAGAAGCCGGTGGAATACGGAGACGACGATGTCGTGATCCTGATCGACCATGTGAGGGCGCTCTTGGAGCAGGGCAGAGTGTTGGATTGCGTCGACTCGAGCATGGGGGAGTTCCCGGAGGAGGAGGTGCTGCCGGTGCTCAAGCTGGGACTAGTATGCACGTCTCAGATACCGTCGACTAGGCCTTCCATGGCGGAGGTTGTTCAGATACTACAGGTGATAAAGGCACCACTTTAGAAGGATCGACGTGAGCTTCCTGATGCCATTGCCACAAACTGTGCCTCTCGCCACTAGTTGCTTTCCTTCGAGCTGCTTCACCGATGCAGCATTCCCAGATCATGCAAGGGAATTCTATTCCAAATATTTCTAATGAAATGATCCATTTGGTGTAAGACTCATGTTAACATGGTTATTTGGTTGACAGCTGTCTAACATCCGGATCTGAAAGCTTGTGTGACATTAAGTATCGGAGAAGGAATTCTCGAAGCATTTTTAACGATAATAATAATAATAATAATAATAATAATAATAATACAAACGGCTTGATATATGATATATATATTTTTCCCATTAATTAGGAAATAAAGAAAATAAAACCTTAGATATTTTGCTTTCTTTCGGTCTGGGCCTCGGGCGATATGTGTCCTTCCTCGCGTCACCAGGCGACCGATGTACTCGCAATCGACCTGTGTGGAACATCGACGGCCATGGCGCTTGTCGCTCTCCCCAACCTCACCCCATCAAGGCGATATAGGTCCTCCTTCCTCCCTCCCACCACCATGTCTTCCTCCTTCTCCAAGACTACCGGAATGCACGCCGCCTTCCCCTATCGGAGCAAGAATCTCCCTCCTGCCCCCCTTCGGACCGTCGTCAGATCGTCCGCCAAGATCGTCCGCTGCCCGCCACTGGACCGCCACGCCGCCAAGCACAGCCGGCTCCGCTTCGCCCGCAAGTTGAAGACGCTTCTCCTCTCCAAGCCCCGCCACTTCCTCCCCCTTCGCGTCCTCTCCCGCTGCCGCCCCTACCTTGGCCTCCCCCCCTCCCGCTCCCTCCTGTCCATGGTCCTCCGCTACCCCGCCCTTTTCCGCCTCCTCCGCTCCCCCTTCCCCGCTTCCCTCCTCTCCGTTGCCCTCACCCCCGCCGCCGAGGCCCTCGCTGCCCGCGAGTCCCACGTCCGCTCCCGCCTCGACTCCGCCCTCGCCGCCAAGCTCCATCGCCTCCTCATGCTCGCTCCTCGCCGCTCCCTCCTCCTCTCCAAACTTGTGCACCTCGCCCCCGACCTCGGCCTGCCCCCGAACTTTCGCTCCCGCCTCTGTAACTCCCACCCCGACCGCTTCCGAACTGCCGATACCTCCTATGGCCGCGCCCTCCAACTCGTTGCCTGGGACCCCGCCCTCGCCGTCCCCTTCCCTTCGTTCCGTCCGCCTCCCTCCGAGGACGACAACCGCCGTCCCATCATCGATCGCCCCCCGCGCTTCAAACACCTCCCGCTCCGCCGCGGGCTCCACCTCAAACGTCGCCACCGCGACTACCTCATTCGCCTGCGAGAGCTGCCGGATGTCTCTCCATATGCTGTTGCGGGAGATGAACAAGAACTAGGGCGAAGGATGTCGGCGGAGGAGGCCGAGAAGAGGGCGTGTGCGGTGGTCCGGGAGGTGCTGGGGATGACGGTGGAGAAGCGGACCCTGGTGGACCACTTGACGCACTTTAGGAAGGACTTCGGGCTGCCCAACCGGCTTAGGGCAATGCTGGTGCGCCATCCGGAGATGTTCTACGTGAGCGTGAAGGGGGTGCGCCACTCTGTGTTCTTGGTGGAGGCATACGATGACAAGGGGAAGCTGTTGGTGGAGGACGAGCTGCTGGCAGAGAAGGAGAGGTTGATGGAGTTGGTCAGGGAGGGGAAGCGGATGAGGAGGGAGAGGAGAAGAGATGTTGGATACGGTGCTGATGATGGTGATGATGATGAAGAGGAGGACGAAGACAGCAACGAACTTGATGAGGATGATGATTTTGCAAACCTGTTTGAGGCTGGCATTGGAGACGACTGGGAGGAGATCAGCAATTGGGCTGGTGATGATCTTGTGGAGGATGAGGTTGAAGAGTTTTGGGTAAAGAAAGCTGCTGCCATGGGCATTGTTGAAGGTAGTGGGGGATTGGAAGCCTGGTGAATAGGAGCCTGTAGCAATCTGGATTGGTTACAAAGAGAGAGCCTCTCGATTGATGATTCTGTCCATATTCAATAACTTTATAGATACACTGTGCAAGTATGGCTACTCTTTAGTAAGTATTCATCTGCTATATTTTCCTAGTTTTTCAGCTGTTTTTTGGACTCTCTCTGCCTATTATTGATATTATAATTTCATTGAGAAACCTCATCATGAAATAGGGGGAAGGGCTGCTTGTGTTTTCTAAGTGAAAGGTCATCTTTAGTTCTTATAGATATATATTCATGGCAAACTCTTGGATTTTTGGTTGACAAGAAAAATTAGGTCAAATGCTTGTTTCTTTGTAATAGTTCATTGGTGTTCTGCTAAATGCTTTACACGTGGAAACATTTTGTTTTCAGAACAAATGCAAACAATTGAAGTACCGAAATTTTTAGAAGCTGACTTGAACGCTCTAAGACCTTTTTGAAAGTTTTATTATATTACACGTATTGGGATTTTTTTCTTTGGCTTGCTCTGACTTATGATTCTGACTAGGTTTTGTTGCTTTTGTCTTGGATAAGAACAGTTACAAGGAACATGTTGGAACTAAAAGATGGAATATGTGATTCTATGCTGTTTCAGAGATTGTTCCATTGCATTCTGCTAAACTTTGTACTCCCTGTCCATTGGCAAATCTGAGCTACTTATGCCATTTCAGATATTTTCTCGGTGAGATTTTGGGACCGCCAAATGAAAAGTTTTGTTCAACTTGAAAATCAAATGTGTCTCACAAGCAGAAAAGATCAGACAGGTAATCAAGTAAAACTCTCACAATACTAGAGCATTTTATCCTCAGATTTTAGCAGTTATAAATATTGTGTTCTAAAGTGTATATGATACTGAGTGTTCTGCTAAAAAATGGAAATAATCTTAGTTGTCCATTCTTTCTAGTCCTATCTATTAGCTGCTGTAGTGAAAATTGATGGCGTCCACTTGCAGCTCAAATCTATCTTCTATTACTTCTTTGTTGAACTCCGATAGCATAGGCTATTCTAAATTTAATGATGATGAATAATGGGTCCAAAAATGCCTTCTCATTATGTAAGTTGGATGGTATGTATGAATGCTCATGCATGAACTCATGGCAAGGTTTTGCCATCTTCTGTTAGCACATTTTGTTTGATTTATATGTGACTCACTTGTACCAGCAAGGTTAGTAACTTCTGCTTCACAGTCACTACTCTTGAATGCCATTCAGGAACCTAGACCCCCAAGGCATAGAAGTCTTAGTTGACTATATATTAGCTTACAGAAAACCAAGTGCCTTTCCATGTCGTACCTATCCTCTCCTGACATCCATCTTATTCTTGGTGTTCTAAATAATGCTATTTAAGAAATCAAACACAGCTACAGATCAATTGAAAGACTTGGATATGCCATTGGCTCATTGTTGTACTATCGTACTTTGGCACTACAAAGGAAGCTCCTGCTCCAATTATACATGTAATCTCCAGTATTTTTCATTTGTAACTTCTTCATCATGGCTTAGTATTACGTGAAACTATCTTGTTGCATTTTCACAAGAGTAATTTGAATTGTCAAAGTCCACCAGGACGTGCTTGTGAAAACAAAATTTCTTCTTGTTACTGTTTTTCATACCCTTGGACATGCACAGACCTCTATGTCTTCAAGTGGATGCTAGGTCCATTCTGTATAAACAATCACAACTCACAAAACCCAAAAAAGGAAAAAAGAAATCAACATTGGCGTGCTTTAGACAAACTACAAATTCACAGAAAACCTAAGAACCTGACAAGCTAAGAACATTACAAATTCATGTTCTGCACAAGTTTACTTAGCATACTGAAAGCCATTAGCCCCTTGTCTGATTTTAACCTTCAATATTCAAATCAAATTCCAAGCATCCTATTTGTCTTGCAGTGCCTGTTTCTTGTTTGTTAGTGCTATCACAAATTTCAAATCAATTTCCAAACTTGGGAGGGTGTAGCTAGTGCTATCGCAATATATTGCCTCCTGACCCAAATTAGTATGAAGATGTTTAGAATTTTACTTGGGTGCATATGGCAATCTTTTTTATGTTTGTAGTCAACGGGTGATTGCCCAAAAAAAGAGTATGCTAAAGCATGAAACATGATTACTAAAGTCATTCTAGTGATATATACAAGAATGTCGGTTTATGGAACATATGATGTTGACTATCTAGCTGTTGCCTGCCAAACTAAGCACATGCCAACCCCTGTTTAAGCAAAATTTGATGCAAGCAGACCCGATGACAAAATCATATGACACAATCAGTTGGCTCCACATGAAGTAACTATTACATATGAGTATACGAATCACATGCATGAATAGTGATATATATATATCATACATCTTTGTGGGATTTCTGCATGATTTCTGTCTTTCTCTTGACATTGCAAAAAGAATAGGACATCTTGATGCATAAGAAAGTTATTTCCAATTTCTATTGAAGTTTATGCGTAATAATTTCTTTCTTCTTTGTTGTTGGTTTGATAGGTTTTTCATGGACAGGTTTCGTTGTATTTGTTGATCTCTGATCTACCAGCGTAATGTGTTATCCTCCCATATAGAAGCGATGTCACCTGTATTCACAGAAAAGACAAGAGCAGATAGCCCCAGGGGCAGCAGCGATTTTCAATTAAACTCTAGTGCGGAATTAGATCAAAAGGAGAAGAAAATGCCTTCACACCAAGTAATTTGCACATGCCATTCTAAGTTTTGTGCATCTTCTTGTCCTGCTCAATAGAATAATCCTCAGGTAAATTTAGTTTAATAGACCATGATCATTATGTAATTAATAACTTGAACCTTCGTGACAACCCTGCAGATGAAAAGTGCAAGGAGAATAAAAAAAATCAGGTTATCTGTCTTTGTTCTCTCTAGTGTTGTTTATGTTGCTCTGTTCAGTCTATTCGTAAGTTGCTATAGTCTGTAAATGCATAGTCACAGTTGATGGTGATCTAACAAGTCTGAGATAATGTTTGAATTCTTGAAGTTGACTTGCTTTGATTTAGTGTGTCCATATGCAGATCTGATCCTTGATCGATGTGTCGAGTGACAAACGATGTGATGTGGCGTGATGCTGGAGTATCCTTGTGTTCGACCCTTACCATCTACCCTCATTATGTTTTGACATGCATAGGGTTTTGCGATAAAATGCTTGGCTTGATGGATGACTTGGCCATGTCAGGATGGTGGGTATCATTACTTTCATTTTGGTTTGTTAGGAGGTCACAGATGGTTTATGGTCGATTCAGTTGTGTTGGAGGTTTGGGATGTTTCATGGCCTAATTCGATTGCATCGGAGATTAGGGACATTTTTATTGTATTGGAGATATAGCATGCTTTATGGTGACAATTGATCTCGGCCATGCTGAAGACGAGGGATGTTTCTTGGTTAGATTCAGTTGCATCAGAGATCAAGGACACTTCATAGTAGGATTCTATTGCGACAGAGACGAAGAAACACTATATGGCGGGATTTGATCGCATTGAAAATGAGGAACTCTTTGTGACTAGACTTGACCATTTCGGAGAAAATAGATATTTTATGATCAAATTTGATTGTATTAAAGGCGAGGGATGTTGGATTTAACATTGTTAGAGACAAAGACGAAGGAATGCTTTATCACTTAATTTGGTGAGAAATTTTTGTGATAAATATGAATTCATTGGAATTAAGGGATGTTTCTGGTTAGAAAATCAATCATATCGGGGATGAGGGATTCTTGATCGTTGGATTAGGTTGTGTAAGACGTGAGAGATGAGGAAAGATGCAGCACTGTAGTCTATGATAGAATCATTTAACTACAATTCTCATGTTGGTTTTGAAGGTCTCGATCGCTTTTAAGCTTATAGCCGTTCAATTTGACATCAGCTCTAATGTTGAATCATCATTTTTGCATTTGCACTGATGGACTAGAGGCGGGTTTCTATTCCCCTTCCATGCATGGGAGTCTGTCTTGTTTAAGCGGTATCAACCTTGTTTAGACCAATCCAAAATCTGCTCATAAGGCTGGCTGGGTTGAGGAGAGCTGATTCTTACGAACCTCTGATGCCTTGTTCAAATCCAACACCATAGCCCGAGCCGATAGAAGAACCCCCGAAACCAACCTTAAGGCTTCAAGCAGAGAGTCACCCTTGAGGAAGAGAAGATGCCCTAAAATGCAATATAACTGACACTCTTCTAATATTAAATAAATGATACAACCAATTCAGAGATCACCAAGATATACGAGATACATTTTCCTCGATTCTGAATGCACATGAGAACTCAAGTGAAATCTCATAAATGTTCTGCTATATGCAACCAACCATCCGTTAGGTAACAACCCAATAGCTTCGTGTACAAAAAAAATAAAACAAAATTAGACACCACTCTGGATTAGTCTGTATGGAAATACAACAATTTTGTTTGTCAAAATTTGACACAAACAAAGCTATTTATTTAACCGATGTACAAATGAATGTGGACTGTGGTCGAATAATTAAAAATATGTAAATATTTGGCGGCAGCTTTGTTTTCCGAACCTCCCTCTAATCCTGTAAAAACTCGATGGAAGCCAAGAGCCTGCAACTTTCTGTTATACCATCTCTGAGACAGTATCCAAATCACTTGCGGTAAAATAGATTCTTATCCTGCCTCTTCACATTCTTTCAAGTATACAGAAACACCAGGATCGTAAGTTGCTGCAATTCGTAAATACTTGGCAGCTTCAGATTTCTTACCTTCTTCGAACAAAGTGCTGCAAAAGAAGATATCTCATGATATTCAATGAGATGAAATCGATACAAGTTCACACAGTGTGGAAGCAGCAATCCAAGTTACATCACCATTCAGAAAGCTTTGGGATCCCTTACCTCCCTAAAATCACCAAACCCTGATGGTAACAGGATTTGTTTGCAGGACTCTCTGGTTCTTTTAATTCTGCTATTCTTTTCAAATGTTTTATTCCCTCTAACTTGTTTCCCTGTGAAGATTAGGCATTTCGGTGATCTCTATACTTGGTAGACTATCAAACTTTGAAGGAAGTGCCTAGACCTTAGCTTATACCTGCCATAAATGTGAAACTCCCGCACCAAAAGTTGCAATAAGTAAAAAGGGATCTTCTTCATCTTGAATCTGGAGTTCATATGCGAGGAAAAAAATTATCAAGATGAAGCAACGATATTTCAAGATACACCCAATATATTACCGTAGAATGCAATACTATTAGCAGTACACGGGAAGCAATATAATTCACCTTTGAAATTGCATTCTCAAAATATTTGGCCGCTTCCACCAATGAACCTTGGGAGCACAAAATCTGACCCTTGGCAATCAAAGCTCTAACCAGCTCAGGGTCCTTTTCAATTGCCATTCTGTCACAGTAGAAAGGTTATAGAAAATTTTTAATGTATTTTTATCTTACACCCTGAGAAGAAAACTAAAACTACTAAAAGAAAGCGACTATATGGATACAGTTCACCTACTCTAAAAGTGGAATAGCTTCGTTGTGACGCCCTGCTGCTAGATCTTCAAGGGCAATCTGTGAAAAATGCCAATGATAAACATGTAAAATGTTGGTAGCAGTTGTCATTATCAACTTTTTTTTAATGTATCAACTACTTACATCAAGCAACTTCTGAGGAGAAAGAGTATCCACAGAGATCTCCGTCAAATGAATATTATTCTCAGGTAAAACTTTCTCTGAAGATACTTGTTCTCTCAAAGGAACTTTCTCATCTCGCAAACCCAACTTCATTCGTATAAATGAATTTTTCAGGGCCAATAGCTGCATCATTTTAAGGTTCATGAATAAGAATTTGATAGAAGGATTCGTGCATGTTAGACCTCCTAGCAAAGACATAAGAAAATCACTTACATGATGCAACATAATAGATATTAATAATTATTTATGTGGCACCTCATGTTTGAGCCTTTGTGAGTCGTGACAATGTTTTAATTACAACAATAGTAAGCCATAACGTGCCACCTATTTTGAGTCAGTTGCATGGATCTTTTCCTGAATAAGAACAAACCTAGCATTTAAAGTTTCGTAACAACAAGGGATATGTAGATGTCAGCGTACACAACCTTACCCTTTCAAACAGAGGCTATTTCTGCAACTAAAAAATTGGACATCTAGATCATAGAAGGATCATCTTCACCGTGATGCCAAGGCTCACCCAATAACAGTACTCTAAATCAAGTTGTAGATAAGAAATGACCCAAACAAAGTATCAAGAAACAAAGAAGCACAATAAAACAAGGAATCTACAATAAGCTCAGGTAAAATAAATCAGCTGATTCATAGGTTTTTAGGAGCTTGATACATGAAACAAAAATCAAATAAAAAATAAAAAAGTACAAGCATCACTACAGAAGAAGACACCCCTTAATATGGGTCGATAAGAGTGTCGATCACGAGACATCATGCTATTAATGAAATTAAGTGTATACAGTACAAACCTGAAATAGGGTCAGTGAACTGTTGGTCACCCAATACACCAAACTTCCCTGCAATCCAAATAAAATACTTCAGAAATAAATCAGAACTAAACATTAAATACATATTTTAGATGTCCCAATAACTAATTCCAAAATAAAATAAAAAGGAGTGCAATTTCACCCAATACGATATGGTATGTGCAGTATGTACCAGTCCAACCTACGGTTGGCACGTAGGATCACTCATATTGGCCTGAATACGCCGGACAAGGTTTTACTGCCCAGTACACCCCAAATATCAGGCGATACGATCGAAACACGACATTACTTGGTAACGATTGGATCTCGACTGAACCGCATCAAGGGCTAGGATTTAATTTGGTCCAACGATCAATTTGATCGTTGGACCCCATTTGGAGCATGGTTCAACTCTTTAAATCCTTCTTAACTCCCCTATTTCACTGTCTCACTCACACAACTTTCCCATTCTCTTTCTCACTCACTTCTCCCTCTCTTAATTAAGCATCCTAATCGATGATAAAAGCACCAATTGGAGGGATTAAAGTGGTCAAAAGAGTCATTTAGTCAAAGATCTCTTCAATTAAAGGTATTTATCATCCTTCTACATTTTAGTTAGATTTGACATGTTTATATCTAGTGTCTTAGTATGAGTAACGATGGTTTGATTAATGGATCTTTCTTGATATTAGAGATAATTATTCCTAATTATAGCTACTTAATATTGATTAGTGTCATCCTTTATAATTTAGGGCCAAATAGGGCGAATATCTTACTTTTACGGCAAATTAGGGCCTAATCATAGCATGTTAAGGGTGATTAGTGTCAATTAGGGCCATTACCTTAGTTTTAGAGACAATTTGGGGTAATTAGGCTTAATCATAGCATGTTAAGGGGTGATTAGTGTATTTCTCTTGATATTATCATCGAGATTAAAGAAGAAAAGAAACATCCTAGCACGAGGAAGAACCCACTCGTCCAAAATGTGATGGCCTAGCAACCTCGAGCTAGTCTAGTTGAGGTCATGACACCCAACAACCACAATTGTTAGCGTAGTGTGCAAAATTGAGGGGAAGGCAATAGCATCAGTTGATCCCTTGGAAAGAATCAATGAGCAATAATTTCAATCCAACGACGAGACACCTCCATTGCATTCAGTACCTCGTGTGGTCCGTAGAAATGTTGACAACAGTGCCTTGATTGATGATGGCGCTAACCATGGCCAATTGATGGTTCTATCTACTTAGTCTCAGGGTGGGGCATGGATCAAGGAGTAACATTTTACGTATGTCACCCAAGATACAAATCACGAACCTCGGGAAACCATGCTTAATGTTTATACTAGCAACACACAAGGAAATGAGAAGGCAGTTGATGACTTCGAGCAGATACAACAAAGCTTCTACAATGTAGACACAGATCGTAGCTTATCGTATTCGCAACCATTATATTATGGAGAATCCTTCGGCTAAGAGATGTACGGTGATGGTGGCTCTTTTTTTTTTTGCATTGGTCATTAGTAGGTCAATGATGATAGTGGAAGTTTCGATGCACTCCAACCTCCCCAGCTATACATGCCACAATTATACTTGCCTCAGGAGACTCCTAAGACACGTGTTATCCATGACAATTAGGCAACAACCGTTACGAGGCTGATACACAACGATAAATAGTTTACTAGTATACTATGTCATGTAAGTAATTTTAACATTGGGTCCAATAGACGTACCATATTGATATACAAATTCATAGGATTAAGAAACCCAGTCCACCGGTTGTGAAGTCTCATTATTCATTTTGGTGATAAAAGCAGGTATATACAATTTGCTTCCATTTGAGGATATCCTTTGCTATATTGCAATCTAATGTTGCTTATATCTTTATAATTGACTCAACATCATCAGAAGAAACGAAGAACATGTAGCAAAGTTGCTACTTAACATAAAAAAAGATAAATTCACTATCTAATCCTTATTTTAACTCCACACTTATTGAAATTTAATTGAAATATTATATTATTATTAAAAGGCTTAAAATAGGATTTTTTTTATTTTTTTTGGGTTTGTTATTACATATTGGCATAAGGACAAAAATACCGATCGGTATATCATTGCTTGGCAAGTACCATATCATTCTAAAAAATAATCAATAATTAATATTTTTCCAGAATTAATCACCTTACCACATCCTCCTACTTAACAGGGAAGAAGCTACTGAGAATGATGATTAAGGTTCCTAGAAACTTTAGCACTATAGCAAAGGATATCCTCTTTTCTTTTTTCACTCTCCAGAATTTGTGAACTGTCTTGGCCTCCAAGCATGACACAATTTTGATCAAATTCTATTTCACATATTCTTCAAACAGTTTTCAAGACACCCAATTTCAATGCAAAAATGCTATAGAAGCTAGTTGATTTCCTCCTACGAATGTCAAGATAAGCAGCAATTCAAGTATTTAAGCTCATCAAGCATTATATTTTCAGAATTCTACTTCCAAATCTAGTCACATGAAATGTAGGATTCACAAACTTAAGGCAAGTAAACAAAAATTAGATATGTTCTATGAACTCCAATTATCATTAAGTCACAAAGTAATGAAACTTAGCTTAAGACTGTGTGAAGAGAATCTGAACATATAAGCATATAATCATAGATATTGAAACATAACCCAGTAAAATAGAGAATGAGTAACCAACCTGAGGAATATGGAATCCAATAAAAAGTAGAGGGATCGCCATAATGTCCAGATAAACCTTGTAGTACTGCATCATAAATTGAACCCAAATCATATCCTATGATATAATATTTTGTGTCTATATTTAACCGTTTTATGTATATTTTCTATAACCTTTTAATATATAATTTTTAAGTGAAAATTCTAACCAAAATATGATGTCAGCAGTTGCTTGTCAAAAATTTTTAATAACATGCGTCCTGGATTGTCAAATTGTTTCCACTTATCTTAACTAACATTATGCGAATATAAGAAGGAAACCTTTACCCAACTTACTTTTGTCAATAATCCTAGAATGCCTCGCAAGTTCCTGGACCGGATTGTTCTGAAAGAAATCTGTAAGGAAAAGAAATGTAGATCATCATCAAAACTATGCATTTTAAATGTTAAAGCTATATCTAATGAATAAGTTTGTTAATATATTTCTAGAAAATGAGCAAATAACAAACACCAAGCAGTTGCAGAGAGGCAATGGTTACATTTAGAAGCACTCTCTGACTGATAGCTTGTAAATGTCAGTTATGATAGCTAGAGACAAATACCAGTAATTTTGAAGGTCACATAGAAGAAACCTTCTGGCCAACGAAAGTCCTATATCAGGAAAGGTCACATAGAAGGGACCAATGCAGTCCATCTGTCCATGCATAAGTATCAGTGACAGGCTCGCATGCAGTAGGAGGCAGGTTGGAGGTTGTTTCTCTTTTTCCCATTTCCTTCTACTTGAGTCTTAGAATAAAACTAATTTCTTTGAAAGAATGTGAACATAGGTGGTGATGACTACTTAGCTTTTATCATAATATGCAATATATATAAGCGATGACGAATTGAAAAAATGGTAAATGGTTGTTTCATCTAGCATGATAGCAAACTTAAGCTAGCATTTGATATTGTTTTGAAGTACCCATAATGTAACAGAATCTGTACACTTGTGCCATTCTTTTTCAACTGACTTGCTACACAATAACTTTCTAAATCTGTTGCTAAGAAGCTAGAAGCACAAATTACCACAGGTCTATGTATAAATAACACTTGAAAATATGTGACAAATAAACTGCCAATGCAAACATATCAGCTAAGGGTTGACCAGTTCCTCGAGAATACAAAAGCATCATTTTTAGAATATTGTAATGCCAAAAGTATAAGCAATCAATTTTTATTGTTATATAGTAAACATAGAAGTATTGGTTGATTATTTCTCAGATATGCATATATTCCATGACCAAATATTTACTGATCAATACGTATACTCGTGTAGTGACATAGGACCAAAAGGAAGGCCTCAATATAGTTGATCAAACAATGGCTTTAAATTATTTGGCCTTTAAAAAGACTTGAGTGGTATCGTCATTCCAGTGCCTGGATACTGGTATGTACAAGTAGGAACAAACATTATTGACAAACCTAACTATTCCAGTGCAGAGTGTATTGACAACAAACTGTGTTTCAGTGCCTTCTTAAACCCACATCATTTATAATACGATTCTGGTGATCCAAATGGACTTGAATGTGGACTTAGTGAAGAAGCCAAAGATGCTGAGTGAGAAAGGCGGTGATACCATTACATAGTCGTACATCCTACCCATGTCTCAAAAAGTGCCTTTTGAGAACTCTTTTCTGAGGATCTAACTAATATGAAGTTTGATGTTGATAATTCTTCCTCTATGTGCCCAAAAAACTTTGATCATCATAATTCATATAAGCTTTAACAATGAAAATTATAATAAGGATC